TATTTGGTTCGTTATGGTGTCGAGTCTTGTACCAAGGAAGGATTTTTTCTGCACCGCTTACAAAAAAAGTTATTGCAAAAAAAACAAAAAACCGTTTTTTACATGTTCCACACTTTTGCCGTTTATTAACGATCCTAGGGATCGTTTATAATTTTGCATTGCTATCTGTCGTCTGCCTGTTGGTCTGTCCGTCTGTTCCTTTGTCTGTCTGTCCATCTATCTGTCCGTATGAACGATAACTTTGTTTAGAAATGTTCGATCGCTTTTACATCTCCGTTAGTTATGAACTGAATTGCATGAAATTCAATATGGGTATAGCTTTAGCCATATAATACGCAATGCCAAAAGTTGAATCGAATCGACAGTGCCCTTTTTTCACATCTCGACCATTTATAAACCGAATTGCAAACTTTTTTACTTATAAAAGTATTTGAATGAAATTTGATACATAGGCACTTGGAATAAAGGAAAAACTAGCGCCAGTTTCAAAATTTTATTTTGCGCATGCGCAGTGCCAACTTTTTTATCTATGGAAGCATTTAAGTGAAATTTGATATTTAGGCGCTTGGAACAAGGAAAATCTAACATTAGTTTCAAAATTTAGGTTTGCGCATGCGCAGTTCCAACTTTCTTATTTAGAAAAGCATTGAAATGAAATTCTTCTCATAAACTGAAATTAAAGTAGCACGTCAACAATGGATTGCCCATGTGCAACGCTATCTTTCATATTTGTGGCCGGATTTTTACGATTTTAATAGAAGTTGCATCTTACAATAATGGGAAATGAATGCAAGTGGAAATGCGCTTTATGTAAATCGTTTACGATTACTTTTTAACTTATAGCACCTTGTCCCGAACTCTCCCAAACTGTTCTCACTTTCGTATGTACAATTTCGACCTTGATTTCTAAAGTTTTGTTTAAATTAAATTGGACGTCGATTATCTTAAAAATGTAGCAGCTGTCAATTTTATCTACCTACTACTTCGAACATAGGAGAATTATATTGCATACAAAATCCTATGTTCGCATTAACAAAAAATTCACTGTATATGATCTCCATCGACCGTACTTTCAAATAATCAATCAGGTTAAAGTGCATACTAATTACAATCCCGCGCGATTTATTAATGCTGATGAGTGATGACATTTTGAATTTCTCGCAGAACAAAAAATTAAGGGTTGTTAACTATAATAGACACATATTTCAAAATATCTCAAAAACTATAACAGCGCAAAAGTTAGTTTCAGCGGCGCATTTGAGCGCATAACTAAAGGGAACGTATAGCACTAAGAATGTTTAAAAAAGTGCACTTTTTTAAAACCATCAATTTAGCCCCACCCACCTTCTGTCTTTCGTTATGGTCATACGGTAGTGGCGCAAAATGTTAATCCAGTGGCGCAGTTTAGCGCATAACTACAGGCACAATTTGGAATCATCAGATATACCAAATTGCATAATGGGGGGGGGGCTGCTTGAACTTGAACCCCCCCAAATGTTTTTCAAAATATCTCAAAAACTTTAACAGCGCAAAAATTACTTTCAGCGGCGCGTTTGAGCGCATATCGAGCGCATTATTACATGGTAATATCATAATGAAATGTTTAATGGGGGGGGCCAACTTAACCGACCCCGTTCTGTCGCTATTTCAGTTCTGTAGTACTAGCTCTGGGTTGTGTTCTTTTGGGTGCTGTGGTAATTGGTATGGATCATAAGGAGAAACTGACAATAATTTGAGGATATATAGTATTATTTGAAGATACGAAAAAAAAGAGACTGTGGTCAAAACAGTGATTCCTGAAACGAAAAAAGTACCCTCTTGTGAGAATTAGAAACGAGAGAGTTTCATAATTTGCACAATTTATTAAAATATGTTCGCCCAGCTGTTGAGAGGAATGATACCCACATGAGGCAGTTACCAGTAGAGAGGGGTTAATTGCCACGCTCCAGTACTTAGCAACTTGAAGGAATTTTGAAGACCTAACATTCAGTTGTGCAATCTCCACAGTTTCTCGGGAAAAATACCTGAAACTTTCAAATAAACCACCTGCCTTGGCAGAATATGCTAGGAAATGGCATAAAATTATTTCATTAGTAGTTAGGTGTAGGTACTTGGTTGGTGGAGTAAGCACTACAATCTTTACCAGTGTCTAAATTGTTCCCCAAAAATGCGCATTTTGTTCGGGAATGTTAATATCACCGTAGTCTTCAAAATTCACTTTTAAAATATCACCAAAAGGTAACTGATCGGATTGTATTTGACTAACAGTTTCACCATCAGTTCTCGGTGTTGTTCCGCAATTTTGCTTGTAAAGTTACCCAAAAGATCATTCAAACCTTTAGCCAAAGAGTACTATGGGTACTCTTTGCTTTAGCACAATTTGCGCCTGCATTATATTCAAAGTAATTTAAACAAAATATTTTTTTCAATGACTCTTTAATTGGAGTAGGATTAGTCGCATTTCCATTTTGATTTCTTAAATTTCCAAACATATTTTCAAGAAGTTTCTATTTTGTGATTCTACAGTGAGTTTTTTTTAAATGCGAACATAGGAGATTACATGCAATGTAATTTCCCTGTGTTCGATTTTTAAAAAAACACATCAATCTATGAGGTGTGCGCGGTTCACCTTCCCAAATCGCGCAACTTGTGTGACTATGAACAGCAACTCTAATAGTCTTTATGATGAAGAGCACTCGGTAAGATTTCTTTAAAGAAGCCATGTGAGGCCACAGCAACTTTAGGATACATTTTTCTGAAACTTACGATAACTTGACCTCACAGGCCACGCACTGACACCACAACTCATTGTGAACCAACCTTCAATTATTTGTAGGTCATGTGCACCTGTTATTCTACTAATTTGATCTATTCAATACATAAATGATGAAAATAAGAAAATAAATACCGATAACAATTACAATAATGTTCGAAGTGTCCTCCTTGACATTCTAAGCAATAACCTAACCGATTTCGTAATTAAATTGGACGACGGTATTTTTAAAAATGTGACAGCTGTCAATTGTATCTACTACTCATTTGAACTACTCAATAGATTGATGTGTTTTTTTTAAAATCGAACATAGGGAAATTACATTGCATGCAAACTCCTATGTTCGCATTTAAAAAAAATTCACTGTATGTCCGGCAAACAAATCCGTGAAACGACTATACACGTGCGGATTTGTCGGGCTCGCTGTCCGTGCTCGTCGTCCTGATCGACGGATGGCGAGCAAGATATGTACGCCGAACAAGCGGATACACACATACGAATTGATACGGATTTGTCCCGCGTACATGTCCGCCGTGCAGATCCGC